TAATCAAACGTGTGCAACAAGCGGAACACTCGGGCAGCAAGTACATCAATCTTCATAATCATAATCATCTCTACAATAGAGCAAAGAGATGAAGATAGAAGCGATAAAAATTAGATTTAGAACTAAGTAAGATTCCACCCGAACCCGTAAAATAATATAATTTGGAAAATAAGCTTGGTATATGTATATATATATATAGAAAATTCCCTCTCATATCTCCAAAATAACTTCATGTCTCAAAATAATTTCTTCAATAGATAATGTCATTCCTCAATTCCTCCAAAAGTAATACTTTAGATTTCTTTTAAGAGTGGGCGAAACTCAAGATTCCTCGAGCCCAATGAGTCGTTGTTATTTACAACTCATCCCGGAATTCTGGCTCCCACCAACCACCAATTGGAAGCTGAATTTCTACCTTAAGTGTGCACACCCTCTAAAATGGATTCCAAGCCCTCCGAGTAGTAAGAAACCCAAGTAGGCAGGATGTTTTATACCACCTACTCACAAGGGACATTGTCCAAGGTTAATTAGGTAACTACTACTACGACCACCAAAGGACCTTTGGTCCTCAAATAAAAGTCCACGATATCTATCGGAGCATGTCATTGCCGGACTGGTTACCGACCCAAATAAATTTCACCAAAAGTAGTAGTAGTCCTAACCACCCACGCCTCGTGTTTCTCTCGAGACGCAATAATATATTATGAAAACTTTAAGTTTTCTCCAAAATCATTCTTGTCACACTTCCAAAATATCCTTTGTAATTAATATCACTCCACCAATATTCTTTAATAAAAAGAATATACATTTAATAATCCATAATAGATAATAATCCACCAATATCCATACATTCAAAATATTCATTCCATGTCAAACAAATAGTTTCCAATTCATAAATAATTCACATAGTTCAAATATTGCATATATATAAGTACGAGATAAAACATTTTTGGTTGACATAGAACTTACCTTAGATTGCGATAATCCCCTTAATAAAATATCTAGCTTTGGTCTTCACTTGAATCCTCCTTCTAATATATATCAAAATTCTAAATCAATAACTACTCTATTATTTTTGTTATTTCCTATCTATCCAACCTTTAATTATTTTAATTTCATAATTTCTTCTTTAAATATAACTATTAAGTTAGATTCCTAAACCTTATTTTAAATGTTAATTTCCAGCCCAACCTTATTATTTTCTTTAATCATACTAATCCCTCCATAATTTACTCTAATTTATTTGATTAATTAGTTAACTAGTCTAATTATATTAACTACATAATAATTTCATTATTTCGAATTTAAATAATCAATTTCAGTTTACATAATTTATATAATTTATTTGATAAACCTTTTAATAATAATTTGACGTAAGCAATAATTCGAAATAATAATCATTAATGATAATCTAATCTAAATAACAACTTTAATTAGTTCAATAATTTATTTATACTAACTAACCCAATTAGAGAGACAAGTGCATAGAGAGTGATGCATATGAATTCAAAAATGTGGAGATTGCCAGAAACAGAACTGCAGAAGACATTAGTATAAATAAGATTCAAACCCAATGGTTTAATCTAAGATTGTGCAATAGGAGGACGAAAGTGAAACTTATTAACTCCTTTCCGGAGATCATTGTTGGAGCCTTCGAAAGCAGCTTTCATCACCAACCTCAGGACAGAAGTAAGCGCTCCCATAGTATGACTGCAAATAAGCAGCTAAACCAGCTAAGTATGACTGCAATAAAATCCCAAAGTATATTTGAGAAATCAAAAAGCACTCCTTAATAACAATAACAAATTCAATAAAAATAATAATACCTGGAGGAATTCAGGGCACATGAGAGAAAGGTCTCCATAGTATTGATTGTGAAACAAATTTTAAGTATTTACTTAAAATTGATCGCAAATAATAATATGTGAGAATATTGGGTACAATCTCTAAATATGAATCCTCTGATTCTTCACTTGCAATTTGAAATAAATATAATTAAAGAAATTAATTCAAAATTAAATCTTTAATTCTTCAAATATTCGAACGTTCGTTAGATCTTCAAATCTTCGAACCTTTGTTCTTCGAATCTTCAAACCTTCAAAGTTTTGTTCTTTGAATCTTCGAATCTTCGTTCTTTGAATCTTCAAATATTCTTGAGTTAAGAATTCAGCTTGAAGGGCCTCCGGTTTTCAAGTGACTTGATCTTCAACAAAAGGGCCATTTTATGGCTTGATCTTCTGTTTAAGGGCCTCTCGGGATATGTGGCTTGATCTTCAATTGAATCTTGATTCAATCTTAATATGAATATCTTCAAATCTTCAAAGTTTCATTCTTCATATCTTCAAATCTTCAAAGTCTTTGTTCTTCAGATCTTCGAATCTTCAAGCTTCGTTCTTCAGATCTTCGAACGTTCTTCAACGTTTGGATTTATTTTATTAAGAATCGACAAAATCACAAAGGATTATTCGTATATTCTTAACAAAAATCGTGGCTTGATCTATTCCTCTTCTTCGGGATCGTTCAGAGCCTTACGGGAGTTCTTGAGAGCTTTTCTGCAACGTTTCTTCGTCTGAAAATTCTCCCCCCCTTTCTCTCAACTGAGACCCCTATTTATAGGTGTGGAGGGGGTGAAATATGCTTTAGGGTTGCAGAATTTCGTCCATACCTCATGGGCCTCAAATAAAATGGGTTTTGGGCTCTATTTGCTTGCATTTAATAGCCAGAAAAAATCAGGACTTGTTCGATGTATCTGGACAGCCTTTTTAACGAGGTTCGTAGCCATTTTCCATGCATACGGATGGATTCCTTAACCATATTCATTGCTCTCTTTATCAATTGGATCATGACTCTTATTCATTGGGCTACTATTTAATAATGGGCTCAAAATAAAGAAATCAATAGGACCGGTCCATTCTTTTCAAAGAATTAAATTAATTGGATATGAAATGTTCTAAATTAATTAAATTATATTCGAACAGATCCATATTAATATTTTCTCTGAACTTTATGAGTAGCCCGTTATACTTGAGTTTGATCCAATAGCATCTAAAAGAGGCCCAATAAGGTCAATAGTAGCTCGATACCGTTTGAAGAGGTCTAATGACTATCAGAACTGGCCCAATAATTTTTAGATGTCCACAAATGCCCCCTCGAGACTTTACTTTAACGTTCATTTAACGAGAAAAGTAAGTCTTGAACGTGAGTTGGCCCAAATTATCTTTTTGAGAGCTTAGTTTACCAAGTTGGCCCAACTAATCTCTTAGTAGATTCGGATAGCAGCAATTTTAATGACTTTAGTGGCCAGGACATCAACTTCCTAGATCAACCAATCTCTTAATATTCCAACCTGATAAAAAAAAAACTCTGCATTACACTCCCCTAGTTCTTCTTGGACTCAAAATACTGAGGCATGCGGAATGCAATTGTTCTCGTACTTGAATTGTACCAAAATTTGAACTCCCTCATACTCTATAAATAGAACACATCAGGAAATTATTTGTACCACAGCAAATTTAAGCAGCAGACATCATCGATCGGGAGATTATTTCTTTGAATCAAGGAGAGCAAATTTAAGGTAAATCATATACTTTTGATCTGATTTCTTTTCTCTTGTGTCGCAGGTCAATCCCATCAGTTGGTCTGAAACGGCATCACCTTATTGACGAAGTAACTCGGGAAAATAGAAGGCGATTACTGAAAATACTAGGATTTTATGACGGAGGAAAGTCGTTCTTCTTCCTGTTCGTTGTAGGGCCAGTAGTGTCAATTTGAGGAAGAAGAAGGTCGAGTTTCAAAACTCAGGAGCTTTAATGATGCACTGCCGCAACTGATTTTCTTCCGATTCTACTCTGTTTATTTAGCAGAGGAAGAGGCTGATAGCTAGGCTGCGGTTACTGGCGAGATGCTGATTCCGTCGCAGGTTGAAAGATGAGCTTGAGGAGGGTTGCTGGTATCGCTCGCCGGAGAAGGAAGATGCTCGTGGTGGATCGCCGGTGCCATAGGGAGCTAATTTGTTGTCGGAGAAGATGAAGGGAGACCGATGCTCTGCCGTTGCACTCCGCTGGAGATGGTGAGAAGCCTCCGTTTACTGGAGAAGAAGGTCTCGCCGGGTCTTTGAAGTCGATTCCTGGTTGGAGAAGAAGGGCTGCCGTCGGATGGTGCTGCTGGGGGTGTTTGTTGCGTTTTTTGCGAGGACTGAGAAAGCACGATCGATTCCACAATTTAAGCCTTCCAGATTGGGAATGGGAACTGTTTGTTGCCTGCTGCGTGAAGACAACCAAGGGAATGGGAACTGGTTATGAAGATTGGGCCTTTGGGCCTATCCAGAATTGTAGCTTTCACCCTTTTTTTGTTAATAAAGGCCCGAGCTATCTTAATCAAAGGGGTAGTTCTAAAAGAGGCCCAATTTTCTGCTATTTCATGTGCATTGAATATAGTGCCATTTATTGAAGAGGAAGGAGATTGATTAATTATCAATCGTCGATGTCGCTTGGAGCCCTTCGTTGGGCTAGTGATATCGATCTAAAGAATGAAACCGGTTTCCGACCGTCGGTGTCGCTTGGGACCCTTCGTTGGGTTAGTGGCACCGATCTAAAGAATTGGTCCGATTGCCGGTCATCGGTGTCGCTTGGGGCCCTTCGTTGGGTTAGTGGCACCGATCTAAAGGATATAGGCCGATTGCCGGTTATTGGTGTCACTTGGGGCCCTTCGTTGGGCTAGTGGCACCAATCTAGAGAATTCGACTAATTGCATTTGTTGAAGACCGAGATGTTGCCGCTACTTCCGACCTTTGTCCATTCTGAAGGAGCTTGACTAATTATTGGCTAGTGTTACTAATTTCTTTGTTCGTCTAGTCGGAAGATGAAGTCAATTGCTCGAGCTTGAGATTGATTATCATTGCTGAGTGACCTGTTTTTTTTTCTTTATTATTATTATTATTATTATTATTACTTTGGTTTTTTTTAGTAATAATAATAAGAATAATGATGATTTTTTTTTGCAGTCCAAAATGATATCTTTTAAGGACGTAAGGCGTGGAGGCAAAAAGTATCTCTCCATATCAACGAGCAAGAAGAATGACGAAGAGATTCTTTTGGAGATGCACAAGCCATTTGCTCGCGAGTTTTGGGGTCCAACGGTTGTGTCCTATCGAGTTACAAACTGGACTCCTGAGTGCGAGTATCAAGCTCAGACAATGCGGACTTTAGTATTTGGCTTTACTCACATGTCCTCTTCTGAGATCCTTCCTTCTTTGGGTAGACGTATCCTTGATGAAAACGCCCCTTTGACAAAGACCTTATCATTTGGTGGTGAATTTAGATTCATCACAGGTTATCGGGACTGGGCCGAAGATATTTTGGGCATGAGTAAAAGCGTTCTGGAGGAAGGGCTTATTTACGATGTTGTTTATGCCTCATTATTCACGTATGACCGATGTACTAATGCTATTCAAGCATTTTGTGAGGCATGGTGTCCCACGACGAATACTTTGCTTACGTCAATTGGGGAATTGATGATCACACTTTGGGACTTGCACGTTATCGGAGGATTGCCTATCATCGGAGACGCATATGATGAATCTATTCCGGGCACTTCTGAGTTGTTAAATACGAGCGCTGACCGTTTATTTCATCTCTGCAAATATTTGTTTCACGCATATCATCATCTCTTTCCCAAAGCCGGAGATAAGCGTGTTTTGCGTGTTCATGCGTGGGTCAAATTCTGGTTCAGAAAGGCCTCCAAGTATACTATGCCTCCAGTGAGAACAGAAAAGAAGCGAACATCTCGTGCCAAGGCGACCCATAATCCGAGCGGAGCTATTCCAAAATTTGGAGGATGGTCGAATTCTATGAGGGTACCATTCCACGTGCTCAAGGTTCCTGCTGAATATGAGGAAGAGGTATATTTAGCGGCATTTTTATCGTGTTGGCTTTGCGCATTTGTATTGCCGCATGAAGGTCCTAGAGTTATCCGCCCAGAAACATTCAGAGTTGCGTGTATGTTGGCTCGAGGGAAACGTGTATGCCTTGCGGTCCCGGTTCTTGCAAGTGTCTATCATGGGCTTAATCGGATCTCGAATGCTCCAGCTCCTGATCAAGTTAGAACGTGTTTTCCCATTCACTACGTTTATGGATGGTTGGCATCATACTTTGATACACATTTTAAGAATGAGATCCAGTCCACGACGCCATTAATGATTTCTTATTCAGGAGAAGGTGGAGCGAGATCCCTCGAGAAGAGAAGTGTGCGCAAACGAATTTTCCAGGGAGATGTATCAGCATGGGTGTGTTCTACACATCGTAGAATCAAAGAATATTCATTCTTCGATGGTAAAAATCCTCCAGAGGCTGAGTTGGCGCTTTTTAGGAGTCTTCGGTCGAATTATCTTGTATTACGCTATCGGGATCATTGCATTGCTGAGCCTTACACTCCTCACCGCTTTAGTCGCCAATTTGGGTATTTTCAGGCTTATGCTTCTGGCTTTCTTGAGATGCGTAATCGGAGTGTCACACTTGCTGCTGGCTTTCAGCTTTGGCTACAGTTTGAGCACGGCATGTCACAAGCTGAAGCTGTATTTCCGACTCCTCCTACTATTCCAGCGAAGTATTTCTCCTTGGAGTATAAAGAGTGGTGGAGCCAAATTCATGGTAACTACCTCGAGAATCATGTGGGTGACTTGATTAGGATTTGTGATCTTGCAGTTGATGATGTGATCACCCCTTCAGATCCCGTGACTCTGGTCTCCAAGAAGAAACGGGCACCTGATACTGAGGCCAAGTCTTTGCCCCAGAAAAAGGCTATGCTTGCAGCACCTAGGGCTGAAGTTTTGATCGAGGATGCTGAGAAAGAGATGTCTCCTGCCAAGGTGAGTGAGAGTCAAGTTCTTGAAAAGCAGAGTAGTGATGAGAAGAACTGGAAACATCTTAGAAAACCTCGTCTTGGACCACTGAAGGTTAGTTTCATCATTTTATAGTTTTGTTTCAAGCTTGTACTTATATTTTCTTCCTTCTTTTGCAGATTCATGCAGTCCTTGATGATGCTAGTTCTTCGAATCATGTTTCTTCATCTAGCTCAAGTGAAGGAGAAAGCGCAGATCATGACACCGTCGCTGGATTGATAGCAGAAACCGGCCCAAGTCATTGTAAACAAGTTCCGACTCATGAAATACCCAAATCTTCTCATGCGAAACCGGCTGCATCTGTATTTCATGCATAAGACTACTTCTTTACTTTGTATAAGCAGTTTGTCATTAATACTTGGAGTGGCCTTCAACAAAAGTTAGGACGGGCTACAGCAGAGAACGTCTCATCTCTTCGGGAGAGTGTTGAGAATTGTGTTATCTTGATGGAGAAGGAGGGCATTGACCTTTCCATGTTGAAGACGAGAGTGAAGCATTTCTTTGACAGGGCACAAGCATTTGATCAGACGTGTTCGACTGTTGCTGATAGGGTTCCTTCTGAGAAACAATCTCAGGAATTGGCTATGTCGCAAGCTTTTTGTGAAGATATTGAAGTTAAGAGATCTCAAAACCAAGTGGCATTACTTGATGATGAGAAGTCTCTTGATGAAATCAAGAAGAAGATAGCCTTGTTGGAAGCTGAAGCTAAGGAAGTAGAAGTTTCGATCTCCAAGCGTCGTGTAGAGGCTAGTGACTTAGACGCAGCTCTTACGAAGGCTAAGGAGGAATCTTCACGGATTTTGAAGACTATCAAAGCATCAGATGAAGATCAATTTGCTTTAAGTACTCAGAAGAAGGAGCTAGAGGCCTTGAAGGATGACTTAGTCAGCTTTAAATTGTTTTTAGGCTGATACTTAGCTTTTAGATTAGCTTTTAGTCAGCAAACAACTCTTTTCCTTACTTCTTACCAAACTTTATATGGATATTTGCTTCCTTTGTTGCTTCTCATGAGTTGATATTGCCTTGCTTCTTCTTCTGTTTTCTATATATATTTTTCAAAGTGACTGGGGTCAAACTTTATTGGGGGTTTGTGTTGTTATAACTGAACTCAAAAATGAAACTTTTGAGCTGCCTATGTACTCCTATGAAGGAGATCAAGTCAAACGTAGTTCATAAGTACCATTTGAATTGGTAAACTAAAGGAGGGGACCGTACACAGTTTTAACTCATGCGGGCCAGGAGCTTGCCGTACACATTTTAAACTCTCGTGGGCCAAGAGCTCGCCGTACACATTTTAAACTCTCGTGGGCCAAGAGTATCTATGATTATGCTCACCCATAGACAAAGTGAGATGTTTTAGCAGTTTAGTCACTTACAACATCATTGGTGGTTTAAGCCATTCAACATTTCTTATGGCCATATCTATACCCCAAATATCAAGGGTAGTAGAGCTTTAAAAATCTTCCATTGATCGGGCCAATCTTTGAGCCATCTCCATCGACCAACTTGTAGGCACCGCCTGAATATACTTCTTGAATAACATAAGGACCATCCCATTTAGGTGAGAATTTGTGCCCCGTTTTTCGTGTGATAATGATAGGTCTTCTCACAGCTAGAACTTTATCGCCAACTTGGAATGAGCGAATTCTAACCCTTTTGTTGAATGATTTCGATAGACGAGCCTGATAGCATTCTAGGTTCTGCTGAGCTTCTAACCTCTTTCCATCAAGTGCCTCGGACCTGTCAACCGCAACTTGACGTTTTCTTCATCAGTGAGTCCTTCTTGAATAGCCAATCTCAGGGATGGTATTTGGCGCTCAAGGGGAAGGACTGCTTCGGTACCATACACCAAAGAATATGGAGTGCTTTGAGTAGGTGTTCGATAAGTCGTTCTATATGCCCATAATGCTTCTTCCATTCTTTCATGCCAATCCCTCTTTGATTTTGACACTACTTTCTTCAACAGGTTACATAGAGTCTTGTTAAAAGCTTCAGCGAGGCCATTGGCGGCAGCATAGTACATAGAGGACTTCCGTTGCTTGAAATCAAATAACTTGCATATCTTGTCCATCAACTTGTTGTCAAAAGGTTTCCCATTGTCCGTCAAGATATGTCGGGGAATACCAAAGCGGTAGATGATATGAACTCGGATGAAATCAGCAACATTTTCCTTCTTCACCTCTTTCAATGCAACTGCTTCGGCCCATTTTGAGAAGTAATCAGTAGCGGCTAGTATGTATGAATGCCCTCCTGATGAGCTAGGCGTGATTGGCCCAACTACGTCAAGTCCCCAAGCGTCAAATGGCCATGATGCTACTGTCGGATGCAAAGGCTCCGGTGCTTGATGGATGAAATTTGCGTGATATTGGCACGCTTGACATCTTCTAGCATAGTCCATGCAATCCTTTACCATGGTCGGCCAATAATATCCCATCCTCTTGATATGAAAGTGCAGCTTAGGACCGGACTGATGAGCTCCACATACTCCTGAATGTGCTTCTTCCATTGCTTGTAAGACTTCATCTCCACCCAAACACCTAAGGAATACACCATCGAATGATCTTCGATAAAGCGTATCTTTATAGTAAATGAAACGCGGTAAACGCCTCTTCAAGTCTACTTTCTTGCGGGGATTTTCAGGTAATTTCCCATCAGTGAGATAATCAATGAGCGGCTGCCTCCAATCTTCATTTTCAATATCATAAACCGAGGTGGTTGGCATCTCGACTATCTCTTCGGCTGCACCATCGTCTCCAATGAATGGAGGAATTACCCATTTTTGACATACTCGTACTTGAGTTCCATCGTCAAGGTGTGCCATGTTCGATGTTAACCCTGTCAGTGCATCAGCTTGCTTGTTTTCCTTTCTTGGCACGTGTTCAATTGTAACTTCACCCAGCCATCTTATGAGTGCCCTTGCATATTTGTTGCAAGGATGCAGTTCAGGTTTCCTTACTTCATAAATTCCAAGCACTTGATTGATAATTAGCTTTGAATCGCCATAGATATTAACTCGTGTTTGCTTCATGTCTACAGCTATTTCAAGTCCGAGAACGAGTGATTGATATTCAGCGACGTTATTGGAGCATTGTTCCGTAAGCATGAAAGCATATGACAGAACTTGACCTTCGGGTGTAACAAAGACCACACCAGCTCCAGCACCTTCTCTGTGTGCAGCTCCATCAAAATACATCTTCCATGGAGGCAAAACTTCAATTATGAGCACATCTTCATCAGGTAGATCATCAGAAAGTTCCCACTCAGCAGGGATAGGGTGATCGGCTAGGAAATCTGTCAAAGCTTGTCCTTTTACAGATTTTTGTGAGACATAAACAATCTCAAAGTGTTGAAATATCAAGTACCACCTTGCAAGACGATCAGATAGAACCACTTTGGTCATCACATACTTCAGCGGATTTGCTCTGGAAACAAGATTTATCGTGTGAGCTTCAAAGTAGTGTTTAAGCTTCTTGATTGCAAATATAAGGGCCAAACACAATTTCTCAATGGGCAAGTACTTCAACTCATGTGGGGTCATCATTCTGCTTAAATAATAAAGGGCATTCTCCTTCCCTTTATCATTTGCTTGAGCTAATAGAGCTCCCACAGACCTTTCTTGAGCAGCAATGTAAAGTATCAAGGGGCGGCCAGAGATAGGTGCATTTAGGACCGGTGGTTTCATTAAATAAGCCTTGATATTTTCAAACGCATTCTTACACGTTTGGTCCCATATGAAAGTCACACCCTTCTTCATAATTCGACTAAATGGTTGACATCTTCCAGATAAGTTCGAGATGAACCTCCGTATGTAAGCCAATTTTCCTTGCAAACTCTTCAACTCATGAATATTTCGAGGCTCCGGCATATTCACAATAGCGTCGATCTTGGCTTGTTCTATCTCGATGCCTTTGTTATTTAAGCACACTTCACCACTCCGAAAGCACACTTCAGAGGGTTCATTTTGAGACCAAACTTCCTCAAGCGATCAAATACTACTCTTAAGTGTGATAGATGATCGCCTCGAGCTTTTGACTTCACCACGAGGTTGTCAACATAGCACTCCACGATTTTGTGAAGGATATCATCAAATATTGCCTGCATAGCTCGTTGATAAGTAGCTCCTGCATTCCTAAGTCCAAATGACATGACCGTGTAGCAATAGATCCCCTTAGGAGTTCGGAAGGCAGTCAATTCTTCATCTGCGGGAGCCATCCGGATCTGATTATAACCTGAGAAACCATTCATAAAAGACATAATTTCATGCCCAGTCACAGCATCTATCATTAATTCAATGATTGGAAGTGGAAAATCATCTTTTGGACAAGCAAGGTTAAGATCCCGAAAATTAACACATATTCGGATTTGTCCATTTTTCTTTCTGACCGGGACAATGTTGGATATCCAAGTAGGATATTTCACTTCTCGAATGAATCCGGCCTCAATAAGTTTATCAACCTCTGCTTCAATTAATGGAATTAAATCTGGGCGGAAGCGCCTTTGATCTTGCTTTACTGGTCGGCATCCTTTCTTTATCGCTAAGTGATGAACAACGATTTTTGGATCCAACCCCGACATTTCTTTGTATGTCCATGCAAAGACATCCTTGTATTCTTGGAGTAAGGCCACATATTCTTCTTTTTCTTCGCTCGATAGAAGAGCACTGATATAAATGGGACGAGGGTCCTCTTCAGTGCCGAGATTTACCTCCTTTAGTTCATCCAAAGCTGTTCGCACTCCTTCTTCGAATTCCAGAGGAGCTTCATCAGCATCTTCACCTTCGACCGGGATTTCATCACCAAAGGTAATATGGTAAGATGAGGCAATGTATTCCTCGTCATCAATCAGTTCATCATATTTGAACTCATTGTCTGTCGGCATTCGAGTGTGAATAATTGTTTTCAACTGTACTTTAAGAGTTTCTCCACATGAGACTTGCACATCAGTTTCTCGCCTCATTCGGGATGGAATCAAGCTTCTACATTCATTCAAAACTTGTGTTTTTGTATATTTGTTGAGAGACTTCTTGCGTGAGCGAACTTTTCCCAACCTTTCATGTACCGGCTTTTTCTCAAAGTTTTGCCCACTACATGGGTCTTCCATGTGCTTTACTATGAAGGGGATCATTCCAAACCTTTCTTGTAAAGTTTTCTTCACGATCTTCTTTGGCTTTGGCCCCATTCTATCAAAAATGGCGGGTTTTGATTTTGCCCCCCCCCCAATTCGATCAAAAACAGAATACTTCGGTTTAGAAGTCACTTCATCCTCTTCATCCGCACTCATATGATGCGTTGTGGCTCTATTTATGAGGATTCTTATGGGTTTCGGCTGAACGTAACCCAACCCTGTATGTCCTCGAAGATTGATCTGCTTCGATGGTCCTTCTCCACCAGCTTCTGGAATGAGTTTTCCTAACTTCTGTTCATTAGGATTATACCCAGCCTTGGTCAGAAGTTTGTATGCATTTGGGTCAAATCCTTCATTAGTGCGTGCCTTGGGGATTTGAAACTCCTTAACATCATCCTTGTGCTTTATTTCTTTCTGAGACATGTCTTGAGGAGGCCTTGATATCTCGATCTTTGCAAGAGGGAACGTAAGCCCTTCTATGCCTTCAACAACTTTCTCTTTCAGCTTTGGTTGAGTCAAGAGGCGATATACTTCTTCCTGTCTAATATCGTCTTCTTTAGAGATTTTGGGCTTCTGGTAAACCTTTGCATCTGCAAAGTATGTCTCGGCTTCTGTGAATGGAGTTTCATCGGCCACTACCTTCTTTACAACACCGTTCTCCTCATACATGAAGCATTGGTGCCATGTTGAAGGAATCACACCGTTCTCATGTATCCATGGACGACCTAGAAGGAGATTATATGAA